GTTTATACCTATAGTCCCTTGTCTACACTTTTTGTTAATTTGATGGATTGTAGATTTATGTATATGCTGTACCTGTGTGTGCTGTGTGTGGGCATTGCACATGCTAAGCTAGTACTGTACCACCTAGCTACCCCCTACATTTGACAGTGTTTTAAATACACCATTGTTAGACTTAAAAACTGCTTAAAGGAGAATACACTGGGTTTTAAATGCTTCTTAGATAAATTACCATGAACTTGGTGACATACAACAACTTACCAGTTCTGGGGGGCCAAACTCTGAAGATTTCTTACAGCTCTTGTCAAGTTGTCAGGAGGACTGATTCTTTGCAGAAGCTGCTAGGGCTTCCCTGGCTGTGGCTGCATCATAGTCTCTGTGCTGCCTACCTTCTGCCTGTCCTGCTGATCTTCTGTGCTATCTCATAATGTTCCTTATGATTACCTGGGAACCACTTGGGTAATTTACTACCAATGTGAGGTACAGACTTCAATCACTGCATTAAAAATTTCTTTCTAGCACTCAGGAGGCAGAGTCAGACAGATCTCTGTGAGTTTGAGGCAAGCCTGGTCTACAAAGCAAGTTCTAGGAGAGCAGGGATGTTACACAGAGAAACCCTGTCTTGAAAACCAAACCAAATGAAGCCAAAGTAAAACAACCCAAAATTTCTATATAAGGTAATGTTCACAGATTCTAGGATTCGGGCAGTAAGTATCGGGTTACTGATGGTGATGGGGATTATTCTGTTTACTACACGGAATATCCTTGACTCTGAATTGGAAGCATGGGAAGATATGTACCAATGTGTTTCTTGGGACACAGAAACACAAGGCAGATGAGAAGAGTCAAGGCAAGAAATGCTCCTTAATGGTTCTGTTTATGGAGAATCAGACAAACCCGAAAGGTTTGGTCTAGTCTGATCTTGTCAGGAAGGAAAACTAGTCTAGTCTCCATGTGCTCATAGTAAATGCTTCAACAATACTTTAAAAAATTAATTATGGTATGTATGTGTATAATATGTGTATGGGCATGTGCGCCATGGTGTGTTTGTGAAGAACAGAGAACTCTGTAGCATTGGTTTTCTCCCTCAACCTTTACTTGAGTTCCAGGGATTGAATTTAGGTTGGGAGGCTTGCATGGCAAACACATTTGCCTGCTGAGTCTTCTTGCTGCCCTCAACACTACTCACCTATACATTTCAGAGATTAGAATAGTGAATTTTCATATGCCTTTTTCACAATACAAAGAAAAAGCATTGCTATGAGTGTTGAAACTATTCTTTAAAAACAAAACAAAACAAACAAACAAAAAATTTGAAACAAAGGGCAGGAGAGATGGCTCAGAGGTTAAGAGCACTGGCTGTTCTTCCAGAGGTTCTGAGTTCAATTCCCAGCAATCATGTGGTGGTTCACAACCGTTTATAATGCATTTCGGTACTCTCTTCTGGCCTGACGCATATAAGCAGGCAAAACACTGTATACATAATAGCCATCTGATGGGCTTTCCCACAATTGCTGACTAAAGTTGCTGACTAGCAGTCCAAAACAGTACAGCTCTCCATACTGTTATCAGCACCTGCCCTCATGTATCAATCCCTCAACCCCAGACAGGGTTTCTCTATGTAGCTCTAGCTGTCCTGGGACTACCTCTGTAGACCAGGCTGGATTCGAACTCACTGAGATCTGCCTGCCTCTGTCTCCTAAGTGTGCCACCACTGCTTGGCTTCATTAAAAAAAAAAAAAAAAAAAAAAAAAAACAAAACCCTAATAGAATGTTACAAGTACAATGGAGAATTGGACTAAGCATACTGGGGTGGTAGAAGGGTAGAAGGGATCTTTTCTCAGGTCAAAGGCAGTTAACAGAAAAGCAATGAATAGAATTTAGCTGTCCAAATGCCTTCCTGTTGTCACTTGGCAGTATGTATGTGCTTTGCATATTTTAAACAATATTTTTACTAATTCTTTGGGAATTTCTCACAACAAATTTTGAATATGTTCACAGCCCCCATCCTCCAACTCCTTCCATAACTACATTCTCCACTTCCTATCCCTTCCCACTCAACTTGAAGTTTCCTTCCCCCCTTGCTTATATTCTTTAATAGTTAGAAAATCTTTGAGGGGGTTGTTTCATAAATACAGACTAAATTAAAGTCTTCCAGAAATAGTTCTCTTGTGTTGGTCTCCAGAAAGAAAAGTCCCATTGGCCATTAGCTACTTTTAGGGACCTCCTCTTCCTTATGGTTCTGACATTGAAAGACTGCCAATGTAGAGACAAACCGTTACCATTATGCTCTGAGTGCCCCAGTTCCTAAGGGTGGCACAAACAGGAAAGACAAATAAAGCTCCCTCAGGTCAGCAGGGTAGAGTCTAAAATTAAACCCTGAGTAAAATGCTTAGTGTGCAATGTTCATTTCACAGTGAGTAAGGGAAAGCAAGTCAGAAAGGTTTTGCCTTGCATGATAGAATTTGTACTGATTTGCTGCTTTTCATTTGTTTGGGGGAAAACTAATTCTTGCCTAGTTCTTAAACTTGTGTAGTATTTGATGGGTTGGGAAAACACACTTCATTGAACACAATGTGCTAAGAGTAGTCATTTGTATCAGGTTTTCCTGGTATGCATAACGGCTTGCTTATCTAAAAGTGCCAGCTTCTCCTCAGGAAAACACGCTGAGCAAACTTGTCTCTCCATCGTAGCTGTAAGGATCGCTCTACTTTCTGACCCAGAGTCTCCCATCTAATGCTGAGTTGAGCACTCTATGAACCTGGTGACAGGAATACTGGCATGATCTGTGCAGGACTAATGAGCCATAGATGTAAACTGATCCTCCAAACAATGCTTGACAATCCCCTGTAACTCACATTTTTTCTTTTTAACCTTTAAAAGGACCTTCAATCCCTTCCCAAATGGGAAACATTGTAGATTTACAGACATCTGTGCTCCTTGAATTGCAATTCTAAGACCTTCAAATAATTAAAAAACAAAAAACAAAACAAAAAAACCCTTAAAACTTTATCTGCCCTCTTAAGATGGAAATATATATCGAAAGTATCAGGTAAATGTTCTAGTTGGTTCTTAAACAAGTACATTTCATTAATATGTGAGTCTGAGTAGTTACTAGTAAGCTCAGAAAAAAAGCCAACAAGCAAATGCATTAACAATCAACTGCCCCACAAGGAGCTACAAGGCCCTCTGGTCTGAGCATAGAACTTGGGAGTATGGTATGAGCAGTATGTGACAGGAGGGGGTTGTTGTTTTCTTAGGTTTGAAAATCTATTGTGACTATGAACCCAGAATCTTCTTAGGAGTCAGCTAAGTGATTTAAGTATTTTGATGTCTGAAACTTCTTCAAATGGCATAAAAACACATTTGCACTTCTTGTGTGTATGAAAAATTTTCATAATGACTGATGGAATAAGGATGGGGAATGGCATGTCTGAAGTCCCTTAGCAAAGAGCACTCACTCACTAACAAGAGTATCACAGCAGGAATTTCCAGCTTTTTTAAAAAAAATTTTGCTGATGCATAGCAAGCGTTATTTAGTCCTACCCAGGGGCAAAGGAGTTGTTTAGCACACTAAACTTAAAACAAATAAAAGAAAAATCCAACCAGTTACAACTGCGAGCTACCCACAGCAAACCAAGTATAGAGACAGTGTTCTGCACTATTATACGATTATATATTCAATTTCAAAAGGCATTATAGTTTGGCTTGTATTTTCCTATCCTAACTGTATCAATGCCTGGTTTTTCTTTTTCATTTTTGCCAATACAAACTGAGACAGCCTATTTGGTTCTGGTCTATGCATATATCCCAGATCCACTCATTCCTGGATTCTTGAAGCCTTTTTAAGTTACTTCTTGAAATAATCTCAATCAGTTAAGAAACTCAGACTCACAACTTTATAATGTTTGAGTCTTACTCTGAGATTTCAGGGCTCCACCAATTTAGAAAAGAGCTGCATGTACCAGAAGGCTGACATAATTTTAAACGTAACTGCACACAAGGTATGCGCCATCGACACTCAGTACTTACTATAGAAAACTAAAATTAGTGTGCCTGTAAACAGGCCCTTTAAGTCAAAGGCTTAGTGTCCACGCTGTTCTATGTAGAGTGGGCCAGGCTAGGCCCATTGGTCAGCCGGATCCCACTGGTTTAGCAGTGTCGAGTGTCCAGGAATGCGTTCACGTGACTAGGAAGCGCGACCTGTGGTGCAGGCCCAGAACCAGTCTGGCGGTGGTCGGAGGGCACTGCAGTATGTGCTGGGCTCGCTGAGCTGACTTTACCAAGATGGCCTGTTGGACTCGGCGCCTGCGCCCGCGGGGCAGCCATCTTGGTAAAGGCCAGGCAGCGGGTGGCGCCGAGTGTGACCTGGCTGCAGTCTGGGGCCACACGGTCGGGGACGACGGCCAACATCAAAGATGGCGCGGCGGCGCGCGCTCAGGCGCTGCGTGCAGCTGTTGGCGCCCTCGGCGGAGCAGGCCCGGCGGGGACGCGGGCGGAGGAGCACTGCCGGACGGCACCGCGGTACGTCCCGCGGCTCCGGGGCCCGGGGGCTCGCCACGTCTGGGGCCTCGGCGGAGGAGATGCGATGCCACGCGTTCCCGATCGCCCTAAGCGCAAGGTGAGCCCGCTCTTCGCCCCGCCCTTCGCGAGCAAGCCCCGCCCCTCCATCATAGCTCCACCTCCGCGCCCTCAGTAGGCCCCGCCCTCCAACCGCGTTCCCACCTCTAGCCCAGCCCCTCACTGAACCCGCCCCGCACTGGCTCCGCCCCCGTGCAGCGCGCCGGCTCCCCGGAACCTGAGCGGCCACGGGGAACCGTGCTGCAGTTATTCTGGACCTTTGCAGGAGGAGGTTTCTGCGGCCGTGGTTCTTCTTCGCGGGATTGCCGCTTCGTCCCGGTGTCGGTGTGGAGCTACCTTTCCGGGACTGTTTGGACATCTCGGCGAAGTACAGCGGGTTGCGAGTAGGTTTCCACTCCCGTAGCCCTGCCTCCTCCTGGAGATGCTGCACTTTTGAGTGGCAGGCTTCTTTTGAGTTACCGCACCTCAGGAGTTGCGGAGCCGGCATCTCTGGAGCCGCCTGGGTGAAGAGCCGCCGTATTTTCAGTCATCTAGGGGAGATTTAAGATCACATCATCCGTGCAGATTCCCAGGTTGCAGCTTTTCGATAGGAATACAAGTGGGTTTATCTTCGTTTGTATGTAAATGAACGGGGTCCACAACTTAGAACAACTTATTTCGGTTTCATCGGTAGTATTTATCTTCTTAAATCCATCCCATCCCAAAAGCATTCTTGCTTTTTTTTTTTTTTTCTCTCTTAAAGTAACTGTAACTCACTTAACCACAGAATGAGCAAAAGCAGGAGACAGAATGGGGAAAGGAGGCGAGGCGGTTTTTTTTTTTTTTTGGGTCCAGTGTTTGCTTCCTAGATGACTGAAGGCGTTTAGACGGATTCCCTTTCCCAAGGAGCTTGGTGTGATTCCGGTAGTTGTGAATATGCCTTCACGGTCTCCAGTCGAAACCTGGATGAATTGTGACACTCAATTGGATCCAGAAAACATTAAGGGAAAAAGAAGTCAATAGCCTCAAAAAGCTGGACACTTCTTGCTGTGCCTTTACAAGTAGGGTGCCTTAAAAATTGTTATTCCATGACTTGCTTGGAAGGTGTTGGCTTAGCATGAAGTCAGAAAGGCATTCTTGCAACACAGGTCTCTGTGAATTAAGAAATCATTTTCATCTTTACTAACAGATTTATGTTTTGTTAACATTGGGTAGGAGTTAAGGATAACGACACAGTTTAGAAAGACGTTACATAATCTTTAAAAGAGCGATTACCTTGGTCTTACAACAGTCTGTATTTTAAAATAGTTTGATTTTTGTTGTAAAAAAATATTAGCTCTGTTAAAGAATTCCGTGGCAAGTATGTATGCTTAAAATCAGATTCTAAGAAGAATCGAGGGTTTAAAAAGGGTTTAAGTCAACTGGAAATACAGCCATACTTTTCAAACGCTTTGTTAGCAGTTTTGCTGGCTTCATGAATTTATAGCAGATATCCAAGAGACAAAAGTCCTTAGTGTATGTCTCATGCCTTTATTTCCATTCACAACTCCAAATCAGAGTGGACAGAGTCTACATTCCAACTGAGTCTTAAAATTTGTTCAGTATGACTGAAAGATATTTTAACATAAGCATTATGTCATAAGGTCTGGGTTGTTTTATTTGGTAAGGTTTTCCTTATACTTTAGTTTCATTTGTCATCCCCATTTATTTGGAAGAAGTCCTATGTCCCTTTAGATATTTATTTAGAAAGCCAGGGGGATTTCTGTGGAAATTTAGTTTGTATGTGGAATTCATATATTTAATTTTTATTTTTATGTATTTATTTATTTTTTCTCTCAGTGGTGCATAGCTATGGCTATAGTGGGGTTTTCCATCCCTTTTCATTAAGAATGTGGCTACATGGAGTGCCCTATGTATCGGGTGTTTTAGATTGAAATAATACTAAAACATATTTTAATTGAAGTATGAACAATGCGTATTCTTTAAAGAACATTTTCATTTTGAAAATCTATAAAGGACATGTAAAAAATTGGCATAAAAATCAATTCTAGTGATTTCCACTGTAAGGTTCAAAGGTTCAAGTAATCGTTCATTCTAATTTCTATAGCATTAAAGACTTCTATATGTCTGTAACAGTGCTTTACTTGACATGTCTTTTCAATTTAGTAACTATTGATTATTATCTATTTTATTAATCAACTTTTACATATATATTTATTCTTGGATAGCTCCAAGAGCAATACACACACACACACACACACACACACACACACACACACACACACATATGTACACACACATATATAATAGTCATGTCTGCTACTAACTAATCTTAATAATGTGTTATAACTTAATAATTTTTCAAGCTCTTTCAAGGAACTTTAGACCAATAACTTGAATTTATATTAGACAGATGAAGCAGCCAAGCCAAGACAGCACAGTATAGGTTGCCCACAAATATGGACTGTACCCTAAACACCATTAAAAAAAAAAAAGTTAGGGATGGTTGTTATCATTGGCTATGGAGGCACAGGACTACATTTAGATGGATCAGCCTAATTCAAAAGTGTGATTAGAAAACAATTCTTAATTTTGGATGTGGGAGTGCATGTGCTTAGGAGGCAGAGACAGGCCATGGCTAGTTTTGGTTACATAGAGAGTTCCATGCTAACTTGAGAGATACCTAGCAAGATTGTATGAGAAAATGAAAAGGGAGAAGGAAGGATGAATTCTGCCTGGCATGTTGAACAACCTCTTTGCTCTTTATCAGAGCAGGTTTTGTGTTTATGTACTTGGGTCCTTTCCCATATTAAGGACCACTAACATACCGATCAAAACAGTAAATGTCTGACAAGTTCTGTGTGATTTTGTAGTCCTCCTCAGTTATAAGAATAAAATTTTGAGGGTAAAGAGACACTTGGTTTCTTGTTCTTATTAACATTCCTTAAACTGATTTTTGTCTGTTTTACTCATCAGACCCTTGACCTACAGCTATTAGATAACACAATAATTTGTTGGAAGTTATTTTCTGTGTTTGGAGTCCCTTTGCTCAGCATACAAAGATATTTGTTCCCTTTCAAAGTGTGTTTAGTTTGCTTAGAGAGTTCATGGAAAGCTAAGTTTCCCTTCTTCCATGGTAACTAATAAAAGAGTCAAGTTTCTGGATTTATTTATTTTTTTTAACTAAACAAAGTCCTGAACATGAGGTAGAACATGTCTTTCCTCCTCCCTGTACTGACAATGTTCTTTGACTGCTGTTCTAAGGATTTTTGGGTGAGATCTGATTTTAATTATCTAAGATAATTAAGGGTCGAGCATGGCTAATAGACAGTCTAGACTCCTGGCCCGATCCAGATCCTGGGAACATCATGTAACTCCATGGTCTGATTTGCTCTTCCTGTAAAGAGGTCACACATGTGATGGCTTTTATCATGGGAGAGACAGGCAAATAGGAAGAGACCCTGGAGGTTATGGACTCGGTTCAGCTTCTTTAGCTTGCAGATCTCCTTCTCTCATAAAAGTTTAGCTTATGACTTCTCAAAGCTGCTGCTATCAGTTCCTTTTAATATTGTTGAGGGAATGTTGATTCCTTCATGTTTGCTTGGTTTTCTATGTAAACAATTTTATCTGTTGAATGTACACGTGTGCTATTTGTAGCCTTTTTTAAACAATGGGATTAATGTTGTTCACATTAATGCTGATGTTGAGGATCCTTCCAGTGAAGAATTCCACTTTTGATCTTATTAGCATTCTCTTGGCTCAGCATGGTTATGCACAGTTTTGTAGTTTCTTTTTGCATGACCATTTAGATATTTTCAACACATACTTTTTTTTTGTTTGTTTGTTTTTTTTTTTTTTTTTGAGACAGGGTTTCTCTGTGTAGCTTTGTAGACCAGGCTGGCCTCGAACTCATGGAGATCTACCTGCCTCTGCCTCTCGAATGCTGAGAATAAAGGCGTGCACCACCAATGCCCTGCTTTCAACTTATACTTTTAAGACAGTGTTTTACCTTCAATTTAGTGTAAGCCGCCATACTTTATAAATTTTGTTGGCTACAAGAAGGAATTTCATGGTATTGAGGTGTAGGTAACAGCATTTGAATGCAGGATTTTCAATGTGCATAATAGAAGTTCCCCCAAACTAAATGCTGACCCCTGCCTGGGGATGTCTTTATGGCTGAACTTTTAAAATACCTTTTCAAAGCAAGGAAAGTATCTTCAAGGATCCATGCATATTTTCTTTTCATATGACTAAAACATAGACCATTGTTATTAATTTGTTAAATTGATTATCTGTTGATGGTTCTTTGCATAATTTCAAGTCAGAACAATTAAGCAATTAAAGTAGTGCAATTTGAAGACCATATAAGATTTAAAGGGTAGTTTTTTCTTTGTTTTCCTCTTTTTAAAAATAATTAATTTAATTTTATTGGTGTGAGGGTGTCAGGTCCCCTGGAACAGAGTTACAGACTGGTGTGAGCTACCATGTGGGTGCTGGGAGTTGAACCTGTGTCCTCTGGAAGAGCAGCCAGTGCCATCTCTCTGGTCCCCAAGTAATTTTTTCCCCCAAAGAACTAGTGCTTATTGAATGTCTATTAAAAGCTTCTTACTTTGAAAAAAACAAAACAAAACAAAACAAAACCAAAAATCACATTATTGAAATTCAGCAAAATAAGGTTAACCTGTGTCTGCGTCAGCTTTTGAACTGTTGGTTCTACTAGATTCAGCTTAATTATTGGTGGAGAGCATGGGCTTTGGGGTGTGATCAGCATGGGTTGGACCCTGAGAGTCAACTGTTACTAAAATTTTGACTTTATGTAAGCTCTGTCTTCAGTTGTTTTTTCTTTTAAAGTTCTCTTAAACTTTAATTATGGCAGTTGTATTGGGGCAGTTTGGAAAACTGCTTAAATATGTTTCTCTTCCCCATGGAAGAAGTACAAAACTAGACTTGTCTTGACAGTGTGGTGAGTACCATTTCTAGGATGTGGCTCCGGATGGTGTCACACAGCAAGATGCAGGAGGAAGCTGGGAACGGATTGCTTATGAGCAGCATGGCCATCCTTGCTGGAAGGCTGGAGATGTAGCTGCTCAGCTGCTGTTATGTCCTAAGCAGAACAAGGGAGATTGGATTTTATGGTAGATCTTTTTAGTCTTTACCTTATACAACTGTAGACTTCAACCTCCCAGTTCTTCCTCTTGACTCTTCCACAATTAGTGGAGTTAGTGGGGTGCTCTTTGTTGACTTCAGTCCTTTGCTTTTCTTCTCTATTTATTTGATTTCCAGCAGGTGATTAAAAAACAAAAAACAATAACAACAAAAACAACAAACAAACATAACCTCCATTCTCTACCTCCACGGAGGGCAACTAGAAGTTTAAGCCCTGTTCTTCATTTGTTCATTCTACAAGTATTTGTTGAACACTGAGCACTTGCGTATTGCTGCTAGGTATTGTTATAAGCAGTGTGAATTATTATTGATTGTACTTTTTTCCCCTTGGCTTGGCTCCCTGGGAGCAGAGCCAAAT